CTGTCCCAACAGCACTATAATATGCAAATTTGATACGGTGTATAGATAACATTGTGCTTAAAGGGAAAACCAGTTTATGCGATTTTTACACACATATTGCATAAAGCCAAATGGTATATCAAATCATTTTGTTATATATTTTATAACATAGTTGAGAACCATCCTTAAAGTTAGGTATAAAAAAATCCTGAAACCTAAAAATTGATTGGTGATTTAAAAAAAAATTCCCATTGTTTTTGCCTTTTCATGTCTATTCTTGTCATTTTATTTTTAGAAAAACTGAGTAACATATGAATAAAATATAATTTAAAAAAAATGATATTTTACCATTTTTTCTTATGCTCTAAACAATGTAATGACATGAACTGTTACTAAATTCACAAAGCTTTTTATTTCTGGTTCTCAGGAGGATATTTTCCCAATCCGCACCGCGTGGACATGAACGGTGCAGACGCGCGGTTTGCATGTGTATCACTCGTGGTCTTTTCAGCCATCTCAATATATTGAGTATATGAACACACAAACATAATCTCTAGAACTGCTCTGAGTCACTTCATGAGCATTTTACAATTTCTTTATTATGAATTAATTATTATTATTGTTATAACCATATTTGGGTTGACGTATATGCTTTTATTTTATTTTTTCAATGAACTGTTTTTTTCAAAGCATTGTTAGATGCAGTGGTTCCTGTAGTTATGCGAAGATTTGGTTTCAAAAACAGGATCAGTAAACTATTTCTTATGATTTTAAATCTGCATTGAACTTCAGATCAATCTCAAAGTAAAAAGCGGTACTAAAGTCTGATTTTGTGGTGGATGTGTTCAGTTATTATGATCTTAATTCAAGTGATGAAGGATTTTGAAAGTCTGAGAGTGTTGAGCACTACTGTAAGGTTAACCCTGCATGGTGTAAATGTTTGAAAATGATTAACACACTGTAAAATCTAATTAGTTGGGCTTACTTAAAAAAAGAAAAGTAATCAAAAGTAATCAGTTACATTACTTTAATAAAGTAATTGAAAAAGTTACACTACTATTACATTTTAAATAGAGTAACTTGTAATCTGTAACCTATTACATTTTCAAAGTAACCTTCCCAACACTGCCTACATGTCGAAATGTAAGTGAAATGCTATGATCTTTCTTTATTTTCAGCGATTTCTACATTTTCCAGCTCATTTTCCGCTTGAAAACTTACACACAACTGCAGTCATGCACACCATGGAATTTTAAGTCACTAACAAACACTAAATTTGAGCTAACATGATGATTTCCATGCTAGTCGTACCTGCACATGTTCAAGTTGGTTGAGTAGCCTTTGTTAAAGCAAGAGTCTTCGTGCATAGTATACACTGTACAACTATGTTATTTCCTTTATCCTTTTTGAAGACAAAATAACTGAAATTTCATGAGACATGAAAACGTTTTTCCCAGCAGAAAGCATCGTAATTAACTGTAGCAGCGTCTCATCCCGCGTTTGAGGAGAATAATTGTAGACGGGTGTTATTTGCGCACGCACCAGCAGGTGGCTCACGTGAGTCAACATGAGTGTCAACAGAAGCAGGAGCTACTGTATGATGAAGTAGCGCTACATTTTATGGAGGACCAAACCGGCAGAAATTTAAAATAAATAAATACGCAAATAAATAAATAAATGTGTGTATAAATACACGTATTCTTGTTTAAATACGTATATAAATAATTAAACGTGTGATGAAATATAGGCAAATAAATAAAATAAATTGGTGGCCAAATGGAAAATGTTCCTAACTGTTTTCTTTTAATCACTAATTTATTTCTGAATGTAGTTCCGCATTTATTTTTCTCTGCACAACATGCTAATGAGAGGGTGTCAACCATGGACTTGGTCGGCGCAAATCTAGGGACCGTCTCTAAAGTTACATACGACATTAATAAAAATGTCTTGATGGATTTTTTTCTTACAAACACGCAGCTTTTCACTTTGCAAGGCATTGATTTATGGACTGGAGTAGTGTGGATTACTGTGATGTTTTTATCAGCTGTTTGGACTCTCATTCTGACGGCACCCATTCACTGCAGAGCATCCATTGCTGAGACACTGATGCAATGCTACATTTCTCCAAATCTGATGAAGAAACGAGCTCCTCTACATCTCAGATGAGCTGAGGGTGAATACGTTTCTTAGCAAATTCTAATCTTGGGTGAACTATTTCTTTAAAACAGCGTCATTACTAACACGTAAATTTGATAACATTCAGATACTAACTGTAAGGTTGAAATGGAGAGTCAAGTGCATCACATTTTGGGATAGAGTATTCAAATTGTGTTAAACATAGAAGCTAAATTTAGCATACTATGCACAGTGAACTTACTGCAGAAACAATACAAGTGTGTAGTATGAGCAATATGTCTGCATCAGACTAACTTGACAAAAGTTGATTTACATGAAAACATTACACTATTTTAAAATGCATCACTCACGATGTCCAGCTTGTGTGAAATTATTCTCAAATCTTTCTTTTATTACAAAAGAAAGCTCTATACATAATTACAGCATTTCTTTTACATAAGTGTGTATTAGTGGTTAAAACAGGATTTCGCTTTCAGTGTTCGTAATATCAACTTAAATTTTAATCAAATTAAAACTTACCCAGCATGTAATACAAAAACAAACAAACGAACAAAACAAACCTAATTCTTCAGAAAATGGCACGTAAAAGATAATGAACATAAAGCAAACATTTCATCCACGACTGGTTACACTGCTAAAGGAAAGAAAAGAAAAACAGCACTGACAGACGTCTGTGCTTCACATTAAAACTATATCCAGGGTGCAGAAACATTTTAATTTCAAACGCAGCCATATGAGCTACTTACAGTTTGTTAAAGTCAGAAATCAGATTATGTACAATAAGGGCCATATACAGTATGGTACATTCAACACTTTCTTCTAGTGTTTACACAACTTCATACTATAACAGCTGATATAAAGACAGTCAAACACACAGGTCATATTTCACTCAAAAAATAAAAATGAGAATACTTCACATAAAGCAAAAACCACTAACTTTTTTTGTTTTTGCATTGTGAAAATATTTTCATGACAATTAAGTGTATCCCTAATATCAATATTTTCAAAAGGTGATTGTTATTATTGTAATACAGTTAAAAATATATTTTTCATTTATTAAAAAGCTATTTAACAATACTAACAATATCTAACCACCTTACAATTTTTCATTATTAATTTTTTTAATAATGAGCAAAAATGTGGTTTAAAATGTCTTAAGACAAAAAAAAAAGTTCACCCAAAATCAGATTTGGAGAAATGTAGCATTGCATCACTTGCTCACCAGTGGATGCGCTGCAGTGAATGGGTGCCGTCAGAATGAGAGAATATTTTTCCCCAAGCAAAGGTTTAAAACGTCTTGATGTTTTGTTTCTTACAAACACACAGCTGTTCTCTTCACAAGACATTAACTGATGGACTGGAGTGCTGTGGATTGCTTGTGGATTATTGTGATGTTTTTATCAGCTGTTTGGACTCTCATTCTGACGGCACCCATTCACTGCAGAGCATCCACTGGTGAGACACTGATGCAATGCTACATTTCTCCAAATCTGATGAAGAAACAAGCTCCTCTACATCTCAGATGACCTGAGGATGAGCACATTTTAAGCAAATTTTACATTTTTGGTGAACTATTCCTTTAATACTTCACGCAAAATTATTTTTTCCTTTTGGATGGGAGTGAAATATGACCTGGAAAAGTTCTTGGAAGCATTCATGAAATTCACCTAAGAACATAATAAACTCAAAAAAAGTCTTCCCCTGGACTTAAAATGCATTAATACTGAATAAAAGAGTCAAATACTTTTGTTCTGGCCGCTTCATAAATCCCACAATGTTTTTTTCATCCGTTATCCGGTTTGCGCGGGTCAAACAGGTCAACATGTTGTGCTCAGATCCACAAACTAAAAATGCACAAAAAGAAGAGACAACGTCATTCCTGCATCTCTCGGTATTGCCGTGGTCCATTTAAATCGGTTTAACAGTACGAGAAAGAGGCTTTATGGTCCAAACTTGCAGTCTGAATGAGTGAAATCTGTGGAGAGAAACCAAATGAATCGTACACAAGTTGAGATTTACAGCCCTTTGGATGTCGCGAGAAATCCAAATGAAATATTCAAAAAAAATAAACAATTAAGGTGACAAATTAAAGAAAAAACTTTTACAATATTAATATATGGGTGCACGTATAAACACTTTTACTTTTGATTTAACTTATTTCAGTTAAAATAAGTTGTTTTGAAAAAATAAAATCAAAAATGCCATTCTAGTACCTAGTAGCAGATCCATCACGTATTTTAATATTTCGGTAAACTAAATAAGCCACGAGAGCACAATCCACATCATTTATTCACCTGTGATCGCGCAGCACCGCCGTTTTCGGTACGTTGTCATGCAGTGCAAATGCAAGTCAGTGTTTTTCTCTTACAGCATCATAAAAAGTGAAAGCACGTGAAGCAGAAAACTCGACTTCTGACAGCTAGATTCAACTCCAGCTATCGATACGTACAGCATAGTTTGGCACAGCATTACAATATGGAATGGCATGCGATCTTTTTCCGACATTTTTGCAGTACGGATCATGTTTAAATCCAAATTATAGCAGCACATAGAAATAATCGGTATTTAATAAACTTGTAACTGACCCGTCGCAAAGACTCGCCCCCAAGTTCTCACGGTGTGAAAAATGCATCGCGGAGCAAAGAGGAAACTAACAACGTGCCGACAGACAAGACAGAGCAGGTTACTTTTGGTAAGAAACAAAGTCTCAGCTTTCAAATTTTGTAATTTAAGAAATTCAAACCATAAATACCGTTTTGTGGCTCTTTAATTTGTCGTGAGAGATCGCTGTAGCGCCTCAGATCAAGCGGCACGTGAACTGATCGTCTTTTCATATTTACTAGTTGTAGCACAAAATAAACATGAATGAACATCAGAAGGTATCTTGTTTCAACCGCAGAAAGACATCAATACACATTTTTCAAGTTCAAGTCTACCGACGTTAGTCTACTCTGTCTGATTTGTTTGACGGACATAATGGCAGATTTGGCGTTATGATTGGTCAGATCGCCTGTCAATCAAACTCCCAGCGAAGGGTCAATTGAATAACAAAGGCCATAGAGAAAGTGATGAAGGCGGAAAAATTGTATTTTTAAGAAATGATCAATTCAAACTGTACATGAAGCCCCTAGTGAGTGTTGATGGCAGTGCAAGAGTATCCAGCATTACATTTAGAGCAAGTGCACTCATAATTTCCTCACCCTCATGTCTTTCCAAGTCTGATGATGCTTATAAATGGGAACGGGTGCTATTGAGCTCTAAAAATGACAACAACAACAAAAAACATTCTTATTTTATAAAAAGGTGGTACTTGGAGCTCGACCGCATCGGTCACCATTTATTTAAATGGAAAGAAGGTTGGACATTCTGCAAAATAACTCCTTTTGCATCTGAAGATGACAGAATTGTCCTTTCTGCGTGAAACATTCCTTAAAGCGATAAATAACACACATACCGCCATTGGAACTATACCGAAGAGCTGATTTCACAACATAAACTCTGGAAAGAATCCATTTTTGACCTCAAAAGAAAAACTAATTACAAATCAGATCAAGAGAGGCATTCCCAAAAGAAAGAAAGACTGAACTGAAGATCCTTCAACTGTTGTACAGCGAAGAGGTTTTGAATTTACTGAAAGTGAACATAATCGTACACCTCTCGGCAAAAACAGGTGAAGACCCAGAAGCGATAGTGCAGACACGTCTCTATGAAATCCTGAAGTATAGATGCGCGTGAACACAAATCATCCATTATCACACTACCCACCAAAACGAGTCCGTGAGGAGACGTGATCATCCTTCAAACGTCCCATTACACCACATTATTGACGTATGTCCCACGCAGCGAGAAGGCAGTAATAAATACAATGGCAGTCTGACTGCATGGCATGAGTGATCCCTGGAATATCAGTGCGAGTGAACGGTCACACCGGCCTCCTGCGTTACGGGTCAGTCTCCTTTGGGATTGTCCAGATTCACCACCCGCAGCTCCGTGAGGGTGGCGCTGCTGCTACAGGTGGGATGCTGGTTTATCAACATCTGAAAAAACAGAAACAAAACTGTTAGAGGAGCCGAGTTACTGCGCACTCTTATCCGTCTTCATAAGCATACGTGCAGTTAAAAGTGAATCAACAGCACTTTGCTAACTGTCAGTCATACTATTATCTGCAATGGCGTTTTAATGGCACATTAAAATAGTGGTCACAACATTATAAGAACAGTTAGAATGTTTTGAGAAAAGTCGAGAACAAAACTGTTGTGAATACAAACGTTATGTAGTGAGAATAATGTCAAAACATTAGAAGAATAAAGGTGTAATGTTTTGGAAATAATGGCATAGTGTTACTAGAATAAAGGCGTAATGTTTTGAGAACAACCTTGTTACATTACAAGAAACAAAAACGTAACGTTATAGTAATAGTAAAAGCCTAATGTTACAAGATTAAAGGCATTGTGTTACAAGAAAGCAGTAACATTTAAAGAATAAGGATGTAACATTACAAGAATAAAGTCGTTGTTTTTAGAATAAAGACATGACCTTACAAGAATAAAGTCACAATCGTAATGTTGAGAACAAAATTGTTTTGAAAATATCAGAATAATGTAGTTACAAGAATCATGTTAACATTACAAGAATAAATCTGCGATGTTTTAAGAACAGTCTTGTAACATTACAAGAACAAAGGCATAATGTTATAAGAATAAAATCATAAGGTTATGAAAGTGAAAGCCTAATGTTATAAAATGACGAGAGCAAAAGCCTAATGTTACAAGATTAAAAGCAATGTTACATGAATAAAGCAGTAACTTTTAAATACAGATGTAACATTACAAGACTAAAGGTGTTGTTATGAGACTAAAGACATAACATTACAAATAGAAAGAAACTGTTTTAAGTCATACTCTTTGAGAATGAAGTCGTAATGTAAAGAGAACAAAATTGATTTGAAACTGTCAGAGTAATGTTACAAGAATGTCAAAACATTGCAAGAATATAAAGACATTGCACTGTTTTGAGAATAACAGCACTGTTTGTAAAATAAAACCGCAATTTTTGAGAACAATCTTGTAACATTACAAGAACAAAGGCATAATGTTATAAGAATAAAATCACAAATGAAAGGCCTACTGTTATGAGAATAAAGATCTAGCATTACAAGAACAAAGCCGCTGTTATGAGAATATAACATTACAACAACAGTCACAGTAGTTTAAAAATAAAGTTGCACAGTTTGACAATAAAATCACAATGTTATGAGAACAAAATTTGTTTAAAAAAATTATCATAACGTTACAATATTTATGTCAAAACATTGCAAGAATAAAAGTAAAATGCTTTGAAAATACAGTCATAATGTTTTGTTTTACGAGAATAAAGTCGTAACAATATGAGAAGAAAATCAGTGTTTTAAAGTGCCCCTATTATGGGTAATGAAAGGTTCATATTTTGGTTTTGGGAGTCCCCAACAACAGGTTGACATGCATGCAAGGTCAAAAAACACTTTCATGGTCTTATAATATGTATTTATTTTTACCTTATCTGCTCAACGATTCACTCGACGATTCATTTTTCCAAACCCCTCCTATGCGTGACGTTAATCTGCAGTGATTGGTCGATTTAATTTCCATTTCATAATAAAAGCAGCGTTTGTGAGCGCAGTGCTGCTTTGTGTACAGCCGTTACTGGGGAAACGTAAGCGTACAAAAGCGGCACATAGTGGCAAAGAATGAATTTGCATTTTCATTCAGACCAACGCGAAAAGACCAACAAGTGGGCGGGCAATGTGCTAATGTTTCATGTTGACGTCAAGTTGAAACGGCTTGGGATTCGTTTTAAAAACGACACGTTTAAATGATTCAGTCGACTCTTTCTTTTGAGAGACGATGACTTTATACACGGTGCACTTTCAGATTCAAACCTTTGCAGGATGTTTTCATTCACTTAGAGCTGTTACACACTGCATGAAAGCTAATTTTCAAAAATCCATAATAGGGGCACTTTAAAAATTTCATTTGACTATTCTGAGAACAAAGGCGGAATTTTTTAAAGAAAAAGCTTAATATTGTGAAGTTTTGAAAAAATCTAAACAAAAAAACAAAAACAATATTATGAGAAAAGATGTGATTCAAGAAAAAAAATTTTTTTCCTACTAACTAGAACATTAATAGGCCTGTTTCAGAAGCTACTCTTACAACCAAAACCCATTAAACTTTTGGATACAACAATGCAAAACGTTCTCAGCGGAAACCGTGTGAGGCAAAGTACATAGCTTTTCGTGACATTTATTGTATTGTTAGCTATATTACCGAATGTAGTGGAACGGCTGAAACTGGGATCTGTACGGTTCCAGGAGGTCCCGTGAAAAACATCTGAGGAACTGCACCTAAACACAACAAAGAGCCTTGTAACAATGAAAGTACAGTTCGAAATTGTCAGAATTAGCATAAGTTCCTGACTTTTCAATGTTGTTTAAAGACTACCCGTGCATCTTAAAGCGAGACATTAACACACACGGTGACGTCTGACGGACCTGAGTCTTGGGCTTGTGTGTGGGACATGTGCATCGCGGCGGGTGCTTGTGGGAAGGTATTGAGCACAGTTAGACCCCCGTCGGCAAGGGTAGGGGTGGATGTAGCGTACATGACGTGCGCTCCGGGGTACATCATGTGACCTGCCATTGAAGAAGGCACTGAGGAAGTGACTATCGTAGCGGTGTGGCTTGCTGTGGGAGAGACAGAAGAGACGTCTTACTGAAGTCACTGATCAGAGCAGTATCTGAGCGCAAGAAAGGGTGATGCTGTAAGTACCAGTGGAGCTGGTGGAGGTCTGGCTGATCTCTGGACTGCTGTCACTGCTTTGAGGACTGGGGTGAACCTGGAAGGCCTGTAACTGTTGAGGCATCGCACCACCTGACACACAAACCACAGACACATCCTCACTGCACTTCATACTGGCCATAACTACATGCGTGAATGAATGGAACGTGGTAAAAAATAAAACTATTAAAAATTATTTTCATTCATTGAAATAAATCTGAAATGAAAATAAATATTAGGTGGTAAATGTAAACTTGGGAAAAAAAATAAAAAAAATTAGAAATGTTGCCTTGCAAACTAACTTAAATAAATACGAATAAGTTGAAGTACTTAACCAAAACTTAAATTAAAAAAATTTAAACTTGAAAAAAATAAAAATAAAAAACGAAAAGACAATAACTAAAACTTAAACTAAAATTAAAACTGAATGTATAAAAATTAAAGCTAATTAATAAATGCACTGCAATTGCACTGAAAATGATTTTCTTACTTCGTATTCTTGTCTTGTTTTCTAGTATAAATATCCAAACATTCTTGAATCAAGATGCATTTACTTGACAAGTGAAATGACTTAAGATATCAAGTCTTGTTCTCTAAAAAAACATCACAATTTTGTTAAGTTTTTTGCTTAAAACGAGCAAAAATGTCTGTCAATGGGGTAAGAAAAAAATCTTAATTCAAAGGCTAAACAAGATTATTTTTCTTTCCCCATTTGCAGATAGTTTTGCTTGTTTTAAGCAAAAACTAATAAAATTGACAATTTTTTCAGAAAACAAAACATAATATCTCAAGTCATTTCACTTGTAAAATAAATGCATCTTGATTCAAGAATTTTTTATATATTTATACTAGAAAACGACAAAAATACTAAGAAAATCATTTTGTGCAGTGTACTTAAAATATTTGATGAAAAACAAACTTAGAAACAAAAACAAACAAACAAACAAATAGAAAGGTTGCCTTAGTAACTAGCTGAAATAAGTACAAAAATTACTAAAACTGAAATAAATTTAATAAATAAAGGTAATAAGTTCTTAAAATATTAGATGAAAACCTAAACAAATTATAAATGTTGCCCTAACGAACTTAAATAGTTTAAAATATGAATACAATTTGAAATACTAAAATGATAAAATTGACAATTTTTTCAGAAAACAAGACATAATCTCAAGTCATTTCACTTGTAAAATAAATGCATCTTGATTCAAGAATTTTTTATATATTTATACTAGAAAACGACAAAAATACTAAGAAAATCATTTTGTGCAGTGTACTTAAAATATTTGATGAAAAACAAACTTAGAAACAAAAACAAACAAACAAACAAATAGAAAGGTTGCCTTAGTAACTAGCTGAAATAAGTACAAAAATTACTAAAACTGAAATAAATTTAATAAATAAAGGTAATAAGTTCTTAAAATATTAGATGAAAACCTAAACAAATTATAAATGTTGCCCTAACGAACTTAAATAGTTTAAAATATGAATACAATTTGAAATACTAAAATGACTAAAAATGAAATGAAAATAAAGCTAAACAGAATTATTTTTTTAAATATGATTATAAAATTTATTATTATTATTTATTTATAATTTTTTTAAGGGGGCTTAAAAACATGACCATATGAAATAAAGAAATTGCAACAATTTTCTTCTATACGGACTTGTGCACAACCCTAAACAGCTGTGTGCAAATGATTTTTATAAAACGGATAGTTCCGGTGCTTGATTCTGATTGGCTGAGCCGTGTTCAAAGCTGTTGTAAATTACTCTACAAACATACACCTTTGTTTACTTCTGTGTGTTGCTCGGCAACCACTTTACTAACAAATATTGTTCATTTAATAAGTAATTACATAATATATGAACCGTTATTGATGTAATATTAGAGTAAAATTCACACAAAGTTGAAATAATTCAAACACTGAACTTTCAATTTTCAAATAATTACAACAATAATTTCAAATTTTAACACAAAGAGTAACACAAAATGCCTTGAAATGCCATCGCTATGACAAGCACATTTGAGACGGCTGTAGCGTGCATGTCCTGGAGCGCAGAGAGTTCACAGAGAGTGTGAAGAAGCACTGACCTGTGAGCGAGATGGCAGCCGGCAGGCGGAAGAGCGTGGCCTGTGTGCTGGCTTGTGTGTTTTGCGTCTGTGGACACT